ACTTCAAAAGCGTTATGGAATGCGCTTGAGAAGAAGTACAAGACTGAGGATGCCGGACTTAAGAAGTTCGTGGCTGCAAGGTTCTTGGATTTCAAGATGATTGACACTAGGTCGGTCATAACTCAAGTCCAAGAACTACAAGTCATTGTACATGACCTCCTTGCTGAAGGTATGACCCAAATTAATAATTTTATTAATAAGATTTATCTTATTATTAATAATGAATTTGTTATTGAAGGTATGGTCATAAATGAGGCCTTTCAAGTCGCTGCTTTCATTGAGAAGTTACCTCCGCTGTGGAAGGATTTTAAGAACTATCTTAAACACAAACGGAAGGAAATGACACTAGAAGACTTGATTGTTCGTTTGAGGATAGAAGAGGACAACAAAAATGCTGAAAAGAAGTCACGTGGACACTCGACAATAATGGGGGCAAACATTGTTGAGGAGGCACCACAAAATAAGAAGAGGAAGAAAGCTTCTGGACCAAAGAATTACCCAAGTAAGAAGAAGTTCAAGGGTAATTGCTACAACTGTGGAAAATCTGGGCATAAGGCAGTGGATTGTCGTGCCCAAAGAATGATAAGAAGAAAAAGAATCAAGCCAACATGGTTGAAGATGAAATGGAAGACTTGTGTGCCATGTTGTCTGAATGCAACTTGGTAGGAAATCCGAAAGAATGGTGGATAGATTCTGGAGCCACCCACCATGTTTGTGCTAACAAGGAGTTATTTTCTTCTTATGCCCCCGCAGGTCCCGACGAGACAATCTTCATGGGAAATTCATCTACGGCCAAAATTGAAGGAGTTGGCAAGATTGCGTTGAAGATGACGTCGGGAAAAAATGTGACTCTAAACCAAGTCCTCCATGTTCCAGAAATTCGCAAGAATCTTGTGTCTACTCACTTCTTGTCAAGAATGGATTCAAAATGTATTTTTANAGTGGGGCGACGTGTCGCTGTAGCGCGTCCGTATGCCTTGGTGGTGGATGGGAGGATCTGGTGTACGGCTGGTGTCGGTCTTTGTTGGAGCGTGGGAGTTGTTCTCGCCGTCCTTCATCGCGTCGATCCCTCCTTGTTTCTGAGTGTATCGTTGTTAGCCGTTGGGTCGGCCCATTAAGATCATCCTCGTCCGCTCGTACCTCAGCGCAATAGGCGTTGTGGATTTCCTCCCATGTGGTAGGGGGATATTTCATGAGGCGGCTTAGTAGCTTCTTGGTTGCCCTCGAACCATCCCTGTTTAGCCCGTTCTGGAAAGCGGCGACTGCCATACCTTCCGATACGTTTGGTAGACTCATCCTTACCCTATTAAACCTGGCTAGGAAGTCCCTGAGTCCCTCCCCTGCGGTTTGCCTGACGGCGAAGATGTCGTTGACCCTTGCTTCCGCTTTCTTCGCACCTGCATGGGCGGTGACGAACTTATCCGCCATTTTCTCGAACGTTGATATCGCCTTAGCTGGTAGTTGAGAGTACCACGTTAGGGCCCCTCCTATCAACGTCTCACCAAACTTCTTCAGCAGCACCGATGGTACCTGTTCTTTTGATAGGTCGTTGCCCTTTACAGCAGTGACATAGTGGATCAGATGATCCTCGGGATCTGTGGTTCCGTCATGTACCCTCAAGTAGGGTGGCATCTTGAAGGTTTTTGGGATAGGGTAAGGGGCAGCTTCTTCAGTGTATGGTTGTTCAACGAACCTCCCCACGTCGCGTTTCGGTAGCAACTTGGAGCGCCGGGGATCTTGTCTACCCTCTCCTGATGTTCTTTCATTTGGTCGCGGAGTGCCTTGTTTTCATTCTCCAATTCTTCCATCTTCTTTAGGATGGCTGTTAGCGTGTTATCGTTGTTCTGTGGCTCGATGGGTTTGTTATTTGCTCGTGCAGCTTCAGGTTCACCCACGGCAGCATTGGTACCTACCGTTGGTATACACTTGACGTTACTTTGTGGTGACTTCTCAACCAAGCCTCTTAGAGTGCTTGTTAGCCATTCTTCCAGTAGCTTCTTGACCACTGGGGGTGCTTCCTTAGGCGCAGATGTGGAAACTCCTTTTTCATGCAAGATCGTCAGATCTTCGGATGGGGAAGATGAGATCTCTACACCTGGCGTGATGCTAGGGGTTGCATTCAAAATGCCCTCGTTACCGGCCTCGTTGAGAGGATCAAGGAGATTGGCTGTAACACCCACTATTGCTTTCATTCTGGTGTTGTTTTCAGCCATCTTTTGTTTTCTTGTGGTGTAGAGAATGGTAGTTGGTTGCTCTCTAGGTGGATACTATGATTTTGATTCTCGAAATCCCCACAGACGGCGCCAAATTGTTTGGCTCAAAAGTTATCGATATACTTTGCGAGCTTAAAAACAATCAAAAGTAGGAAAGGGTAAATCGTAATCAAATATAATAGACCTAGAGATGAAAAATGAAGTTGTTGTTGTAGATCTAATAGTGTAAAATGATAATATGAACTCCAGAGAAAGTATTCGTTAGAGATAGAGATAGAGATAGAGATAGAGAGTAAGAGAAAACGAGAGAGTTGTATTATTTCAGCCTCCCCTTTTACAATGTGAAGGTCTCCCTTATATAGTAGGAGACCTCCCTCGAAATAATAAAAAAGATACAAAAATAGGTAACGTTTTCCTAGTGAAGACACTGAGCCTTAAACGATGTCGCTTTTGTTCCCACGCCCAAGTCGTACCCTTGCGTTAGTTGACGTATACTCATTGGGCGTACCCATTGACATAGAGACGTTGACGGTCAAATTTGACCCAATACAAAAGGTAAACAATGAAAGACAAGGTTTTTTTCCACGGAGCAAGGAAGGGGAAGTCGGAGGACGCTAAGGATAGAGAGAAGGAAGAACAACCTAACAAGGTCAAATATTGTACTTTCAATATCAAAATATTTACATCAAATTAAATGAATACATAATATTAGTTTTTATTTACTTTTAAAGAATATATATTCTCACTTCAATTTACTTTTCTACTGTGATATAAGCATAAACACTAGGTACTCTTTGAAAATCAAACTACTTTTACTCGATTATTATTTTTCATATATTTTCTAAGGATTTTCAAAATTAAAAGATTGTTATAGTCCATGTTATCTAGTTTATAATTATGCAAAGTTTATTTTAAAGAAATAAAAAATAAATATTCCATTTGATATCGAATATTAAAATATTTTGACCTTCGACCTTCAAATCCTTTCATTCTTTTTTGAAATAATCCATAAGAGATAAGTTTATCTATATCATATGTAAATCACAAACATACAATTCAATCTTATTACATAAAATTACAGGAAAGGTGTGAGTTATATGTTAGTAAATAATAGAAGAAGTCATTTATATTTTGTGGTAAGTACTAAGGTGCAGGGGCATATCTATTGCAGAGGCTATAGGTTCATTTGATTTTTCCGAAAAATCATTAACAGCATGTTTGGATGGTTGTTACGTATTGTTTCATAATATATTATATCGCACTGTATTATATCGACAGTATCGTTTAATACAATGTTTGGATAGGATTGTGTCGTTTGCCATTGTTTCATGCAGAGGCGGAGCCAGGATTTCAAGTTTATGGGTTCGGGATTCTAATCGTTTTAAGTTACTGGGTTCTACCTTAATAATTTATACATATTCAATGGATTTTTTAAGGCAAATACATAATTTGAACCAAAGCTTTAGGTTTGGCTGAACCCGCTGACGGAACTCTAGCTCCGCCCCTGGTTTCATGATATCATGCACCAATGAAGAATAAACTTGCAATATTATAAAAAAAATTATGATACACGGTAAAATTATTATATAATAAAATAGGGTAAATGATAAAATAAAATTGTTTAATAATAATGAAGGGTGAGATTGAGAGAAAAAGACAAGGTAACGACGCGGCCACACCAAATCGGTCGTTACATAAAGTGGCACATTTCGTCGTTATGTAACAATGGAGTTAACGATATGATACAATAAAATTTAAGTAACAACTAAAACAAATATCGTATTTAAAGTAACAATACGATACATTACAATGGGTAACAACCATCCAAACAAGCTATAAATTTGCACAAATAATAAATTTTGAACTCATTAAATTGCCAAAATTTTACGATATAGCCAGTTTTCGGACTGGTCAATCAAAAATAGCCAGCGTTTACCAAGTCAATGAAAAATAGCCACCGTTTTGCTGCAATAGAGACCGGTCCAGCATAATATACTGGAGTTTCGGTGCACTTGTGTATGAACTCCAGCATATTATGCTGGACCGGTATACTTTGCTGGCTCCAGTATAATATACTGGAGACTGGAGCACTGGTGCTCCAAACTCCAGTATATTATACTGGACCATTATACTTGTTGGAACTCCAGTATATTATGCTGGAGTTCTAGTGTATTTATGCTGGAACTCCATCATATTATGCTGGAGTTCCAGCATACTATCCTGGAACTCCAGTATAATATGCTGGAGTTCAAGTATACTTATGCTGGAACTCCAGCATAATATACTGGAGTATTTTCCGGGTTTTGAACAGTGTTTTCGCTCAGATTTATCTTTAAATAAAAAGTGGCTAAGTTTCGATTACTTTTGAAATTGGGCTATTTTTTAACGACCAGTTGTAAATCTGGCTATTTTTAAAAATCACCCTAGATAGAATGTGGTAGAATTGTAAATCTAAACTCATAAAAGTTCAAATTATAAATCCGCCTCTAGTAATGAGTCACCGGCACGGAGCATTTTTCCGTTGTAGTAAGATTTTCTTGCACGAATTTATTTCCAAAACGAGTACTGATCATCGGCTGAGAAATAAGTCTTTTCTATGTAGTTTTCAAAACATTAGGGGCTCAACTTAATATAAGATATAACGGGGTCCGGGCAAAGAAGTAGCCGTTATACCCACGTGGTCGTTTGCCGACACCTAAAGTAAGAAAACTCTTAATTTCACAACTCAATAAATAAAAAATTTATTCCAGTATTAAATATTTATTTTATTTACTCCAGACAATAATAGAAGATCGATTTGCTTTCCACAGAAAAAAACGTTAACATCACGCCCCTTCAAAAGTGTCACTGTGTTGTAAAATACATTTGCTTTCATCTTCTATTCTAATCCCAACACAGTACTTGCATTTTCTGGGCAAATAAAGCTTCAATTTTCCTTCCATATTTTTCCAAATCATAGTGTAAAAAGTTCCTTACATATTATCCAGAACAGTGCAAGAAAATATCTATATCACAATATATTTTCTCTAGAGTGTATAAATTTTCATATTATCAAAAATAGTGCGAGAAAAGCTGCATTAGATAATTGTGGCTTGGTGGGTTTTAGTTTTATTTTGAGAATTATTTGGCTTGGAATTTAGTTAAAGTAGGAGAAAGAAAGTGAAAAAGGCCATTTCTTTTGGCTTTGATGGAGCTCTGAAGTAATTCTTACTCTCTCAGATCAGCAACTGTTACAACTCAGAGAGTATGATCTTTTTTTGGCTTTCATGAATTTAAGTGTTTTATCAAATATTTTTATTTCAGAGACAAATTGCTTTTAGGGGGCTTATGTTCATGAAAGGGTTAGCTTTTATGAATTTAAAGTGCTTTTATGAATGGGTTCTTATTAACATAATATGTGCATAAGAAAGGTTATTTTTGATGAATTTAAAGTGCTTTTATTTCATTAGAGAATGGGGTTTTATTAACTATTGATGATATCAGGAAGAAACTTTGTATTTTTTTTTTTTTTTTTGTCTTTTTGTTTCATGAAGTATTCATCATGTGGGGTTTTACTTTTGCTTAATTCCAGTTGAGAAGTAAGTAGTTTTCTGAATGTGTATAAGATTTCATGTCTTTCTCAAACTCTGAATTGTGTTGATCTTATGTGAATTCTGACTGTTAAAAAGATCTTTTTTTCCCTTCAGATTCTCAAAGTTAAAGAGATAAGGATGATCAGTTGTAGTTTCCCTTAGTTCTCTTATCAATTATATGGTATATTTTCTTGAGCATACTGGTAATTTTGAAGTTAAAGAAATCCAACTAAAACTTCCTCTAAAGCAGTGAATTGGTACACAGCATCTGAATATTGTTGAAAACGTTCATGTAAAAAAGGTGGAATAGAAGTATTTATCTTTGTTCGTACATGTCGATACTAGTATAAATTTGTTTGGTGCAGACAAGCAGAACCTTCTGTAATTGTGTTTCATAGTGAGAGGTCCCTGTTTTTGAGATGTTAAAACTTGCAGCGGATTTAGATTTATTCTGATTGTTCTTTCTCGTGGGTCTTAATTTCCTGTGGGAGGGCAGGAAGCTGATGGAAGACCTGGAAGTGTATGTTTTCCTTGTAGATTAACATGACCTTCGTCTGTTTACAGATACTAGATGGCGACGCTTCAAGATATAGGCCTTTCAGCAGCAATAAATATTATATCTGCATTGATTTTTCTTGTGGCATTTGCAATTCTGCGGCTCCAACCATTCAATGACAGAGTTTATTTCCCCAAATGGTATCTTAAGGGATTAAGGCACAGCCCAACCCACTCTGGGGCATTTGTCACCAAATTTGTTAATGTTGATTGGAGGGCGTATATAAGGTTCCTGAACTGGATACCAGATGCACTAAAAATGCCTGAACCTGAGCTTATTGACCATGCGGGGTTGGACTCTGCTGTTTATTTGCGGATATACTTGCTAGGGTATGTCTTTCTAATTATTGATATCACTTTTTGGAGTCATAAAGCAATTTGTCTTGCGTTATCATATCTGTGCCATTGCTTAATAACCACGCTGTCAATCAAGATAAATAGGTGAGTCACTTTCTTAAAGTAATATCTTTTCATCTCTTTAAAAGAAAGGATGAGGAGGATCCTTACAGTCAAATATGCCTCAATCCCAAGCGAGGTTGACGACAGAAACAGGAAAAAGAATCAGCCTAATAGCAATTTCAATGCTGTATACTTTCAAGCTCCACTGTTTTCCTACTAAAGTGTATTGCCTTTGCTGGTTTTGGTCTACTGTGAGAAGCTGGACGGTCTATGATGTTCACTGCTTCTTGATTTCTGCAGGCTGAAAATCTTTGTTCCTATAACATTGCTTGCATGGGCTATCCTGGTACCTGTAAATTGGACAAATAACACTCTGGCAAAGTCCAACTTTACTTACAGTGACATTGATAAGCTTTCTATTTCAAACATTCCACTTGGATCACTCAGGTTTGGAGATTTATCTTTCAAAGCGTTTGAAAATTTTGATGCAGTGGATTTGCCATTACGAAATTGTTTTATCGATATTTAGGTCTTCTTCGGATGTAGGTCTTAACTCGTAAGACTTGAAAACTTTTAGATGTCTTCCTCTTTCTTACTTATTTATTAATTATTTTATCTTAAATGTTTTACTAAGCTATTTTGATGACTTTAAGTTAGAAGTTAGAGGAGTAGTTTCGAGCATTTGAAGACTTTGATGTGTTGCTCATCTCAAGTTGTTATCCTAATGTTACTATAGCTTAACTTCTGGTATGATGCTCTGTATAGTTTTTACTGTATACCTAAGTGGGTCTTCTGCCAATGTTTTACTGTTTATTACAGCATGACAGCGTCTTCCTCTGCCGATGTTTTAAGCGCCCAACTTATAATTTCACTTGAATACTTCTATATCCGTCTCTATATTTACCTTATTCAGCTACCTATACTAAAGATTATAGACTGGTGAAAGAGCGTGTTCAGGATTTCTTCTGTCATCGTAGTATTACTATACATTTGCTTTTGGCATGACATGTTTTGTTTCTTATTTTTCCCTTCAATTAGTCAAAGTCCTTTTTCCCTGGTCAGCCAGCTTCTTATAATCATTCTCCTAGTTAAGCTAGCATGATGCTATTTGTAGCCTGCCTTTTTTTTTTTTTGCATCACGTTTAGATTTCTTCTTGGGCTATAAATTAAAAGTCTGCAATTGATGCTTCAAGTGGTTTTTATTTCTGGCGAGACCACCAAGCAACTTGCGAACAAGAATGCCGTGGACATGTTTTGAGAATCAGTCATGTGTGGGTTCGCGGTCCATATTTAAAGCTTTGAAGTGTGTTATCCATTTTACATACTAGCTTAAAAGTCCATTCAAGTGAAATCATCTGCCAGTAAATGGCAATACATTTTGGGTTGCGTTAAAACCATCGTATAATTTGTCTTGACCTGGACTCTTGCAGGTTTTGGACTCATATTGTTATGGCCTATGCCTTCACATTCTGGACCTGCTATGTCTTACAAACGGAGTATGCAAAAGTTGCAGCCATGAGGTTGCAGTTTGTCGCCTCTGAAAAACGTCGCCCTGATCAATATACGGTGTGTCGCCTTACTTTAGAAATTGAACATCTTACACTCTTACAGCGTTGACAAATTTTCTCTCTAGAAAGAGTATTTAATCATTGAAGCATAAACACTCTACAAATGCATAATGTTTTTGAAAGTTCATATATAGAGATTGAGGCTGGCATGGTACCTCTTCTTAAGTGTTCTAACTTAAGAGAGTAATCAAAGTTTCTGTAGTTTAATCTATTTTGTTTATTATAATTATGATCTTCATCCTTTGCTTGATTTGTGATATGCACAAGCTGGTTTGTTTGATTTAGCTAATGTGTGGACGAAGATCTTTTGAGCTTTCTGAAAGCAGTTTACAGAAGACAAAAATTTACTTTTTACCTCTTTGAATTATAAAGTGAAGCGAAACATGTTGGTGCATTTTCTACAATGATATTCATAACAATACTCCTTTATGTATTTGATTAAGCAGTAGAAATGCAGCTCAATAGCAGAGGATCTCACTATTTCTATCTCCCCCCTAGATGGTGTTAACTCTGTGGCTTTGTGGTGCATTTTTGTTCATATCTTATTTAATTCGTTATTAAGAGAGTTATTAAGAGAGTTGATGGCGTCTGGGTAATTTGTTAGAAGGGAGTATAGAGTAAGTGTATTTGCATGGGTTTTTCAATTAAAGTTTTACATTAGATGTACAAAAAGTGTATTTGCACGGATTTTACTTGTGTAATCGTTTTCTCTTTTCTGGAGATCGTTAATCATAGAAGCATTCTTAGATATTGACACAGGTCCTTCTGAGAACTTTCTTGAGGAACATATCTGCTAGTATCTGGATTCTCCAAAAAAAAAAAAAATAAAAAAAATAGAGCAGTGTACCTACAATGATTAGAGACCTCATTTCCTAGTGCCATCTAGATTTTTTGTGCCTACTATCTTGAACAATGTGACTGCAGCTTTTATCCACATTACTTCTTGCACTAAAATTTGATTGCAACAGGTCCTTGTTAGGAATGTTCCGCCTGATGCCGATGAATCAGTTAGTGAATGTGTGGAGCACTTTTTCCTGGTTAACCATCAAGATCATTATCTCATGCATCAGGTTTGAACTTACTGGAATACAAGTATATCATTCTGTTTTACTGATAAAAACGACAAGTGTCTGATGCTGTTTAGGTGTTAAACATTTGAGAAAAGTGATATATTTTCCAATGTTGAACATATGCTCCTTGTTGGAGCCCTAGGGCTTTGGGCTAGTGGTAATAGCGAAGGGGTGATGTGTGAGTTAGGCGCCCGTCATGGGTTCAAACCCTGCCACAAACAAAAGCATGTTATTTAAGTGGAGAAGGACAAAGGGGCGAGCCTCCGAGTTTCGAACCATGCGCCACTGGCCCTCGGGGATACTCGGGGATTTTCGGTTATTGGAAAATAAATATACTCCTTTTTGAAATATGTGACCAAGAAATCTAAAAGTCTAAGCTATTAGAATGGGCACACTTTTATTTAGTTAACTATATCTTTAACACGTTTTAATGGCTAAGCACGTGGAAGTTTTTACTGCCGTAGGAAGGGAATGAATTAAGGACAACTAGTTCTGCACTGGAAGAGGTTGTGCTATGAGTACTATTGAATTTTTTTTTAATGCTTTGTGTGCCATTTATGACAACCAGAGGCATTAGGACCTAAAAACAGAGTTTCTTAATAAGTTGTGATGCGACAAAATAACATGGTAGAAGGCAAAGATCTGAATATAATTTTTAAAGGCGGGAAATAGAAGGTTGAATCATCCAGTGAGGATATCTATGTTTGAAACCTTCTGAAAGTTGTCAGTCATCGTAAAAACTATGATCTGTTTTAGTAATAATTGAAAATTCAACGAACAAAATTTTCTACTTAATTACCCTTCTCATCCTAGTGCTTCTTTTCAAGGCTGTTAGCAGACCTTTATTCTCCCTTGTAGAACAATTATATGCTTCATTTTGTGTTGATAGGATGTTCTTAAAGTTTAGTATCCCCGCCCTATATGAAGTCACTGGCATGTTTGATATTTCAATTAGGATGAATTAAGATATTCTATTACTATATGGCATATGCAATTTTTTAACCTATGCTCTATTTTTTATGTTGATACACTAATTCATGTTATTAACATTGTTGGATTCTACTATAGGGTGTTTATGATGCCAATAAACTAGCAAAACTGGTGAAGGAGAAGAAGAGTAAGCAAAATTGGCTCGACTATTACCAGCTTAAGTACTCTAGAGATCAGTCAAAACGGCCTATGATGAAGGTATGAATGTGTAGTTGTGCGAGTCCCAAATCCTACAGATTGTTATTTCTAACTTCCGATATCATAAATTATTCTGTCAGGCTCAGTTAGTACCTTTTTGACAAGGTTTTGTCTACCTTTAAAGGGGTAAGGTTTTTCAATGCTTTTTTTTCCCTTCATATTTGCAGACTGGTTTCCTTGGCTGCTTTGGAGAAAAAGTAGATGCAATTGACCATCAGACTGCTGAAATTGAAAGATTGTCAGAAGAGGTAAATACCACTTCAATAAGTTGTGAAAAGCTTTGTAATAGGCATGTTTGATCTCATTATCCTTCTTGGATCAGAGGAGGTAGAGTGTCATGGATAATAAGGAATGAATTACTTTCAGCACTACCGAACACTGATAGGTTATATCTCTTTCTTTATAATAGGAAGAATGTCCACTAGATCTTTTCCCCCTATTTACTAGAAAAAATCTCCTATTGGACGTAACTTTCCTTTTCATCAACCATTTACCAGACCTTGCTGCATTCAGAATGAGGCTTATTCTCTTTTTCTTGTCTTTTTGCCTCTCGTTCATTTTCTCTGTTTTTGGTTAATGCTGCTGGCTTTAAATCAACTCGAATTTTACTAATGCCTTGGGTCTGACTTTACTTGTAGATAGCTGAAGAGAGACAAAGGGTGAGAAAGGACCCAAAATCTATCATGCCTGCGGCATTTGTCTCCTTCAAAACGCGGTGGGGTGCCGCTGTTTGTGCACAAACACAGCAATCCAGAAATCCAACCATGTGGTTAACAGAATGGGCTCCAGAGCCACGTGATGTATTTTGGAACAACCTGGCGATTCCCTATGTTTCTTTGACAATTAGGAGGCTCATAATTGCTGTTGTCTTCTTTTTTCTGACATTCTTCTTCATGATCCCAATTGCATTTGTCCAAACCCTTGCCAGCATTGAGGGGATTAGGAAGAAAGCACCATTCCTAAAAGTTATCATTGACGTGTGAGTACCACATTATATACTTGTTCTGAAGTCAGCACCGTCTCTCATTTTTAATATTTTCTGTACTCATGATCCTTGATGGTCCTATGATACCTATGTTCGTCTATTTTAAATCTATTAGTGACAAAACAATTTCGAAAAAGAAATCTAGTAGTTTCGTATTTATGAGTACTTACTGGAACTTGTTTGACATTGAAGCTAGGACAACTGTGAGTATGTGCATAGTGAATTCAGCTCTTTTATGCTAATAATTCCGCTGATCTATCATGCAGACCTTTCATCAAGTCATTCATCCAAGGATTTCTACCTGGGATTGCTTTGAAGATCTTCCTCATATTTCTGCCGACTATATTGATGATTATGTCCAAATTTGAGGGCTGGCTAAGCATATCAGCTCTAGAGAGGAAGTCTGCATCTAAATACTACATCTTCACTATTGTGAATGTGTTCCTCGGGAACATAATTGCAGGAGCTGCATTCGAACAACTAAATTCCTTTCTCAATCAGTCAGCAAACCAGTACGTTGTTTCTGCAGAAATATGTTACTAGATTTGCTTATCAGTCTTGATTTCTTCAACTTGTGAATCAACGGGGAAATTTTGGAAATGCAGTTAGAGTATTTCTCTACGTGGGCATTGTTCTCGCTGATGCAGGTAGAACGATGTCCACGTATGCTTTCATGCCTGCTCTAATCAGTTTCAGAATTGTAAAGCAACATCTTTGGACATACATAGGAGTTAAGCCTGATGCCACTGACACTTTGTTTTCACCTATCCTGAGAGATGTCTATAACTAAAGAGAAACTACGTAGCACAGTCATTCTCTTATTGATCCTAAACATGTCAATCTCCTAGGTCAAATGTTAGCTTTCCAGAATGTCCACTCTGATGAATCAAATTAGAGTGCACAAACGTAAGCCCTGTTGTTTATAGCATAGGGAATCAGCTACAATTAATATGACCTATTAGAAGAAAAAGAGAAGGAAACAATTCCTGTAGGCTAGGCTTCCTCGTAATAAGTGGCTTCATCCTATTTGTGAAAATGCTCCTATAGACCATGCATGCCATCATGTACTTATGCTCTTTTACTGTCCTAGAACCCACCCTAATTCAGAAGATCGTTCCTGTTCAGCATGTCATGCCTGAAATCCAGTTAATTTAAAGCTCTAAAAGTATGATACCTGGAATTCAGTATGAGTGTTGAATACAGTATTCAGTTCCGAGAAGGTTTTCTTCGCACTTGAGAGGATCCTTAAGTTGTCCTATAGCTTCAAGAGATTACATGTAGCATGTTTAATAATGTCTTATGAATACAAGGAAATACATCTTTATGTCAAATTGTCAATGATTGTCCTATTGATTCCAGCCAATATATAACTGGTTCTTTATGTGCACATTCGTATTGCCGAGTGTTGTCCTATTACGTGATATTACAAGCTTTCCATTGTTTGGCAATTCTTTGATCGTCCATATCCCACCTAAGAGCATAATGCCATAAAATTCCCTTTATTTACTGCAGAATTCCTAAAACAATTGGTGTCGCAGTCCCTATGAAAGCATCTTTCTTCATAACCTACATAATGGTTGATGGTTGGGCTGGTATTGCTGGAGAGATCCTAAGGCTGAAGCCACTTATATTTTACCACTTGAAGAACTTTTTCTTGGTAAAAACAGAAAAAGATAGAGAAGAGGCAATGGATCCTGGAAGTGTTGGTTTCAACACAGGAGAGCCGCAGATACAATTATATTTCTTGTTGGGGCTTGTCTATGCTGTGGTCACACCATTTCTGCTTCCCTTCATTTTGGTCTTCTTTGGCCTGGCATATGTAGTATATCGTCATCAGGTTTGTCTTTTCTCTTTCTTTTTTGTTTATCGTTTAGTTGTTGGACTTTATGGTGCTTTTACATCATATGGGTTTCAAGTGTTACAAACTTACTGACATTGCAAGAACTTCATGTGCACATGAGAGACATGAGAGTCTACTCATAATAAGTACTCCCACCGTTCCATTTTATGTGTCTTATTTTGACTGGGCGCGGAGTTCTAGAAAGTAAGGAAGACTTTTGAATCTTGTGATCTTAGGCTAAATATATAATTAACAAGTCTACCACAGAAAGTCTATGGTATGTTTGTGTACTTAATTTCTATAAATGATCATTGTTTTTCATGAAGACGAGAATATGTTGGATTATAGATGAGTTTGCTGATGCTTGAGAAACTTTTCCATGACCAATCCCACATCTCCTAGTAAAATTTGTTCAGTCTTGCATATGCTACTATCTAGAGATCTCACCAACTTTTATGATTAGCTACATTTGCATGTTCCAATTTGCTTTTCCTGATGGATTCTTTTTCTGAGATTTTGCAGATTATAAATGTATATAATCAGGAGTATGAAAGTGCAGCAGCATTCTGGCCAGATGTTCATGGACGTATAATTTTTGCTCTGTGCTTCTCTCAATTATCTCTACTGGGCTTGCTAAGTACAAAACATGCTGCTCAGTCGGCCCCTTTCCTGATTGCCCTTCCAGTACTGACCATCTCATTTCACTTATTCTGCAAAGGACGTTATGAGCCAGCTTTCACCAAATATCCTATACAGGTGTGTAGAAGCACAGCTTGCAAATAAGAGTTTCCACTGTTATAATAGTATTCGCTCTTTTTTTTAATAACACTGGCGGCGGCATTCCATTTTGTTTTCTTCAAAAAGGTTAAGGTTGAATGTTACAATTTCTGTGCCACTAGAAGCCTTTAGAGATATTAGCAAAGTATACAGAGCTTGAGCTCCATGTGCTTATAGGTTGTCTTCAGTTTCCTTTATGAACTGCATCAACGTGGAATGCTTCTGCTAGATGTCACTAAACAGAGGTTCTATTCAAATTATTTTGAGAGGATTTAACTTATACACTGTCATTACAAAGATTTTTAACACTACCCGATAGTTAGGATAGTTTATATTTTTACCAGGTTATCAATTAATGCTTAGCATAGAGATTTACTTGTAATTACCTTTGTGATGCCGTCAGTGCATAAAACAATGAACTCATGTTGAAATTATGAGATCAGTTCAACTCAAAGGCTTCTTTTTCTATATGAGTAATGTTTTCTTCTTCTCGATTTCAGGAAGCGAGGATGAGAGATACTTTGGAACAAGCAAGAGAACCGAACTTTAATCTGAAAGGCTACCTTCAAAATGCTTATGTGCATCCTGTTTTCAAAGGTGACGATGAGGACGAAGATGAGGACTTCATGAACAAACTGGAGACTGATAGCGTGATTGTCCCCACAAAACGCCATTCAAGATTAAATACACCAGTGCCCAGCAAAGTCAGCGCTGGCTCGTCTCCATCACTTCCTGATGCAGTTATTCATGAACATTAAACAACATAGAATGTTAGGTTGGAATATTTCACTACTTTTTGCATGAGAGTTCGATCGTGGAGCTTCAACGTTAGCAATGGCACAGAGGCCACTTTAAATGGCATATTCGAGCTGGCTGTAGCTATGGTTTACTTAGACCATTGGCATTGAAGTTCAGTGAAGAGTTGAATGTACAACAAGACTGTAAAGAACTCCACTCTCAATCATTTAAGGTAATTAATAGGTGTAGCATTAGAAGTTTTTGTACACTTGAGAATGTTCATATTTTTAGCACTTGCTGGTTGTTTAATACGGGGATCTTGTATACAAGCTTTGCAGGGGAAGTATTTTTTTTCTTTTTTTCTAATTGATCCTAGTTAAAAAGAAACAAAATCGGATTTCTTGTTTGGTCGGTTTATCTAATTTATTTATTTTTTAAGTCGTTGAAATCGTGGATGACTCAATAAAATTAGCAAGACCTATGGCATAGATCAATATGCGACACCAGAACCAATTATCTATGAGGTAAGATAATATGCCATTACATAATTGACATTTTATAACCTCGCAAAATATATAGTGCCATATTAAGTTTTCATAATATAATTTGCAAATTAATGAACCCGGTTATTGAATAACCGATCTTTTCCTAAGCAGTATGGCTAAAGAAAACGAATGTCTAAATTAACTAAACACCTTGATGGCTTAGTTATGCACTAGTGGGATTCGACGAGTTTTCGATGTACTAGTGGGATTCGACGAGTTTTCGATGATTTCAACCATGGCTTGGGACGAATGTTTTCTACAGACATGGGGAGTTTGTTGCGTGTTGTGAATTTCTCCTAGATGGGGCCAAGTGGAAGGTTCCTGGTTGATGGGGTGTCTATCCTACTTGTGATTTAGAGATTGATAATAGGGTGTTTGTTTTTTCATATGATGGCATGATAGATGTCGTGCGGCGTGTGAGATCGAGGTTTGCATGTACAAGGTTGCGGTTCAGATTCAAATGGAAGGTCATGAATTCTAGATAGCATTGACGGTTTCAGATATTTAGAAGGAATGCTAGCACTATCTGGTATCACCAGAGAAGGGTACGCATTTCAGAAGGAGCACTGTATTTTGACTTGCGGATGCTTGACTCGTCTTATTGTAATTACCTGGTTGATCACCTACTGATATTAGATCCTGCTATGTGGCATGAAAGAATTATGGAAGTATTTTTCGTGAGATGATTATGTACGAGGGATGTGTCGGTCATTTGAATGGTGGAGTTGGGATCGGACATGGAGATTCCTGTATTATAGGGATTTGAAGACTAGGAGGGTTCTTAGAGGTAGATTATTCCTTGGTAGTACCGGTAAAGATATGCTAAGAGTTTGATGCTGATTATTTGTGTTATGGTCAGGTTACTGTGGACTTTTGGAAGGTATTTACCTATTCGTGGATGATCGGAGTTGATTTGGAGGCCACTTATAGGCTTAATGAGAATGTGCATTCTACATCGGGTCAGATTTGTTTACTCACCACAACTATTGTTGAGGGGTATGTCATGTGATAAGTGTGAATTTTAACCACTTATTAATAGCTTCTTGCTTTAGTTTTAGTCCAATAAATGTTGATGTTTGTCTCCAAATCTAATGAAGATGGTTGAAAATATAGGTGTTTAACGGGTAGAAATGGCGTGGGGTGCCACTTTTTAAAGTGGTATTTACTTTTTATCCAGCATTTTTAATGCTGAGCAAAAATAGCCACTACTCTATTAAAATTAATATGAAAAGACGAAGTTACCCTTTCTTCTATCTCTTTTCCATCCCAAACCCTCTATCAAAATTTCAAAACCCTTTCTCCTGATCAAAATTTTCCAAACTCATTACTTCTCTTCCCCATGCAGTAAATTTTTCCCCAACTTCATCCCACTTCCTAAACCCAAAGGCAAACCACTTCCTCGTTGCAGACCACTTCTCCAACTTTATTTCTTTTTCTTTTTCTTTTGGTTGGTTAGGTTCTTGTTGTCTTTTAGGCTTTGGGTTTTAATTAATCTGATAGTTATTATCTGTTATATGTCGTGATTTTGACTATACTGTTTCCATTTAGTTGATGGGACCCTTTACCATTTTATGGAATTGAATTTTGATAATTGTGTTAAGGACATGTAGTCCTGAAGTCCTAAAGTTAAATTCAAAAGTTAAGGACATGATCCTGAACTTAGAGTTTCAAGTTCAAAAGTTAAGGAAATGTAGTCCTGAAGTCCTAAAGTTAAGTTCAATAGTTAAGGACACAAGTTCAAAAGTTAAGGACAGGCAGTCTTTAACTTACAGTTACAAGTTCTAAAGTTAAGGACATGCAGTCTTTAACTTATAGTTACAAGTTCAAAAGTTAAGGACAAGCAGTCCTTAACTTACAGTTACAAGTTCATAAGTTAAGGACAATATGTCCTTAACTTTGATTTTCAAGGTTCAAAAGTTAAGGACAGACAGTCCTTAACTTACAGTTATACGTTCAAAAGTTAAGGACAAACAGTCCTTAACTTACAGTTACAAGTTCAAAAGTTAAGGACGCTTGGTCTTGAAGTTTGAGTTCCAAGTTCAAAAGTTAAGGACATGTAGCCTTGAAGTCCTGAACTTATTTCCAAGTTTAAAAGTTAAGGACATGTAGTCCTGAAGTCCTGAACTTAGAGTTACAGGTTTAAAAGTTAAGGACATGTAGTCCTGAAGTCCTGAACTTAGAGTTCCAAGTTCAAAAGTTAAGGACATGTAGTCCTGAATTCCTGAAGTTAAGGACATGAGCAGAAGGGTATTTTCGTCCGGACAGTTAAAGTTTATTAAAGCAGTGGCTAAAGACTAAAGACATTTTAAACGGTGTCTTAAAAGTAAATACATGTGTTATTAGTGGCCAACCGTGCACTTCCCCAGTTTAACGGGTGTGCTGGGCCGGGCCGGGTTGAGAAAAAAGGTGACCGGTCGGTTATCGATTTTTTCAAATCGGGCTTAACGGGTCCGGGTCCATCCGGGTTAAAAATGAACCGGAAGGGTTACGGGTCCAAGGGGCCGGGCCAGACCGGGTTAGTGATATGTTTTTTTTTTGTATTTTGTATAACTATCGTAATTTATATTAATACAAAGTAAAAATATAAAACAAAAAAATAATCTTATAAAAAGAGTGTTTGAATAAAAGGATGCAAAGGCTTTAAAATCTTTATATTTGGAATTTTGAATATTTCATTAAGAATTTAAGATAATAGAATACAATGAAGATGGAAAAAAAATTGCACTTATAATTTGCAAGTGCTTTTTTTTATTTTCAAACTTATAAATTGAAGTTTACATTTAACAACAGGTAAATTAACGAAAAAAGAGTAAATTCAAAGGTTTTGTATTGCCTTAGTAAGTTCTTCATAATCAATATAAACTTCTTGACCATCTTCTGGAATGTCAAATTCATATGGGTTACCATATTTTAATATATCTCCAAGTTCCTCGCCTTCTGGTTTATCAACATCTTCACATCCCTGATTTCTTCGTTCCGATCTAATCCAATATCTGAAACGTACTAAAACTTCCAAACCATTGCTTCCGAATGAGTGACGGGTGTCTCCAAGTTGTTGTCTTGCTCGACTAAATGCACTCTTTGATGCAACAGTTGAAATTAGCACATTCAGCACGTCCCGAGCCATAACAGAAAGAACAGGAAATTGCTTTTCATTCTCATGCCACCATCCCAACGGTAAAAATTCCTTTGTGCGAGGCTCTTTTTGCTTTCGCAAGTATAATTGAAGTTCATCAATATTCCTGCTACTGGTTTGAGTGGTAGAAAATATAGACCAAATATTAAAACCATCAAGGCTTTCATCATCATCCATAGTAGTAGAAGTGGTACAATGCATAGTGGGATTAACATTGCCTACATTAAGAGAAGCATCATCAACTATATTTGCATAATAATTATATAATTGTTGTAAATAATCATTTAGCTTGTTCATAAAACAACATATATCTGGGGTTTCAGTTGGTCCAATCTCCATATAAGTATATAAAACATTGATTAATTGGTGACAGTCAGATATCTTAATAGAAGGATTTAAAACAACACCAATTAAGTAAATTGGAGGAATTGGAAAGAATTTTTTTTTGAATTTTGCTTGTATTTTTTCAACAACATCCTTATATTTTTCTTTCTTCTTCAATTGAGTGAGTAGAAAAAAAATTTCAGCTATATGTATTAAAGCCATAGTAACAGTAGGGTAATATGCTCCAGAAAACTCAACAGTAGCTGTATAAGATTTATGCAAAAATTTAACAACATCATTAATGGCCTCCCAAGTAGTAGTTCTTAACATACGGTTTGGATCCGTACAATGCGCATTAGCAAATTCAGTTATTGGCATTCTATATTTGTAGCAACATTTTAAAAATAAGTATGTATAATTCCATCTAGTAATAATTTCGTCTGGCATGAATCTGGGGTTAAGGTTATGCTCGGTACACTTATTCTTAAATTCCCTAATTCTAGATTGTCTATTATTTCCTTGAATAACACCAGCTGCTCTTCTAACATGAGTAATCTCAGTTGAAAATAAATCAAGGCCACTTTTAACAATTAAATTATAAACATGACATGCATACCTAACATGAAAAATTTCGTCAAGTGGTGGTTGCAAATGCAGTCTTAATATTGAAATTGCGGTATTATTGTCAGAAGCATTATCAAAAGACATACACTATACTTTTTTCTTAAGATTACAAAATTCAACAACTTCGCAAATAGTAGTACTTATAAACATAGAAGTATGACTCTGATCTTCATCATATTTAAAAGCGATAATGCGTTTTTGCATACAATAATTATCATCTATCCAATGACATGTAATTGTCAAATAATCATTTCCATTAACAGCATGGCCAATATCAGAAGTTAGAGAAACTCTACAAGGAAGGTGGTCAAACAAATAACAAATGTATGTTTAATATTGTCCATGAAGTCTAAAGATATTTGATCTACAAGTATTTCTAGGGACACCTTTAAATAAAAGACTATAAATCCTTTGAATATACATAATAAGATATGATGAAGAAGCAAAAAAAAAAGGTAGACAACCCAAAAGCAATCATTTTTGCTAACTCCTCACGATCCTTCATTTTATCATATTTCATAAGTCCTCCAGTACTAGGGTTTAAAGTTCCTTGATTTTCATCTAATTCAGAGCCCCATTCTATAGGATGCTCAATTCTCATATGTCTACTAAGTGTCCCAGTCCTCCCTAATTGCCCTCCAGTCTTATGTTTAAAATCATCTTTACAAAGTCTGCATCTAACTCTATCACTATTCTCTATTTCGTCAAAAAATTTTCAAACCTTACTTCTTTTTCTCTGGTAAGTAGTCGGGGCCACAGGTTGTCTACTACTAGCAC